ACTCCTTCTTTGGGCAGTGAGAACCCAAGTGTTGCTAATTCTGTTGAACATCTCAGAACACAGGCACGATGAGAAGCTGCAAGTTGGACAGCTTGGATTGAGGTACATCGAATCTAATTTCTGGAACAAGATCGACAATCTACCTACAAGATTCTTACCACCAGGCAACATCCGAATGCTATTCCATCAGATGGCTGCTGCCTTGCCTGAAGGGGAAAAGGTGTCGTGTCTTCCCTGAATCAAGTGTTTGTACGACCTGACATTGTCCAAGGTTGTCCAATAGTATGTCGTACATTAACTCAGGTACATGACGTTTTGGAGATGCTATAGAAGAGGATGGGACAAGGTTCTGAGGTTTTTACCTCCCTCAACGCACGGATGCTGCGAAACCTGCTTAAAATGCAAAGATGAGTTCCGGGCAACCAGAGAGACTTAGCCAGAGAGTGAATACGTTGGTTATTAACACTGTGTAAACCTTGGGATTCTGAGTTGACTAATTCTTTGGCTCAGGATTTGCAGCAAAAATATCAAATAGCGAAGGACTACAAAATTCACATAGACCAGGTGGGACGCGATAGATCCCTTGAAGAATTTTGTCAAGTGCGCAAGCTGCAACTAAATGCTACACTGCTGTGATCCTTCACTCATTCCATGTGATATTGTGAACCCAAGGCACAGTCACCAATCCAAATGCCTGGAAATCCGATGTGCATATTCTGGGTGTCTTGATCTGATGAGGGTGTTTGTAAAATCTCTTGGGGGCCTGTTGGTTTCCTAAAATTGTTGGTTTCCTCAACCCGGGTCTCTCACCCAGCCCAGCCTTTTGATTTTCAGCTGCTGGTGAAAATCTATTCTACGTAATGTGTGAAACATTCCATCCAGGACGGAATGGACCAGGCAAAGTGGAGCATACCAAGAAGCCGAGAGACAAGATCCGCGAAGGCAATACTCATGTTGCCTAAGCCCCGCTTCAAAATCCAGGGCGTCTGGATTCAGAATGTATGTCTGGACATGTACGTCATTGACTGCAGAACGAAATCCGATGCCAGCACGGTATTGGAATGTGGACTGAGATCTATCGAAGGTGCAATGAAAAAGTGTGATGATCAAGGGAAACCAAGACCTGATCAAGCAATCATCTGGGAAGCTTATCTCAACAGTAAGAAAGCACTGTATCTTACAACGCTGAACATGCAGGGTTACTAGACATGGGGTGATTGAACTTGTGCAGGGTTACTAGATATACTAGGCGTGATTGAACTTGTGCAGGTTGCTAGATTCAGATGTATACTAGGGGTGATTGAACTTGCACAGGGTTACTAGATGTATACTATCAGGGGTGATTGAACTTGTGGAACCAATTCAACAAACTGATGAGTTCACAATCCAAGGCAGATAACTGCCCGAGGGAGAACAAAAACAATGTTGTGCTGAAGCTGCTATGTTGGTTGGTGGGCTCATCCAAACTGAGCCTTGCTGCTTTACTCTTCAGCTCCGTGGGTCACACTCACGGGCCCCTTGGAATCTCGGATCCAGGTCAAGCTTCAAACCTGTAACTATCGAAAACTCAATTTGAGCCTTCAAATAGTCTTGGACACGTTGCTTCTCTCGGACACTAAGATCAAATCTTCGGACTATTAGCAACTGCTGTACGGTATTGCGACATCCTCGCCGATGCTGAAGATGTAGTGCAGTGCTTGCCTCAATGTCCTTGAACATAACAATAAGCAGCACAATATGGACAATGCACGCTTAGAATCTTGCTGCTCCCAGGAAGATTGACACATTGCTGAACAAAATAGGGCTTCGACAGTGGATTGGAGAACACGCAAAAATCAATGTCCAGTTTATATCCGGGGTGAGAGACTGGAAAACTTGGCCCTTTGTCTGACTTAATGTCACAGTGGAACTTTAAGGTTGGTTTGACATACCTCACTTTGTCTTGGCCTTGGCAGCAAGATTCTACAGTGGCACCATGTCGGCTGTCAACTCAGGACTTCCAATGCTCCAGTGACCTTTAGCGGGGGCATGAGAAACGATGAGAGTGCTTGGCACGCTTTCATTATGATCAAAAGACGAGGCATGTACAGGGAAAACTGTTTGGTGGATTGAAACCTTTCAGTCAACCAAAAGTGTGGGGTGCGTGTCCTTGCAGATTTGCCCCGGAACATCACGGTGGAGGCGACGGGTAGAGGTGCTTCCTTTGAGGCGCATCCAGAGGATGTCATTCTCATGGTGAAAAGGCACGCGAGTGATGACAAGTTGGGGCAGGAGAAATGGAAGAAAATGTGACAGAGTATGGGTTGGTGACTTTCGGTGGTCAATACCTGTTGTTTAGAGCATAGGAAACGGCCTTGAAGAAACTAGGGAATGGATGAGAATGGTATACCTGGGGAGTCATACTATGACTGACTGTAACATTGTAAAAACAATGTAAAACCTATCAACCAAAACGTTAAAGAGACCTTCTGCAAATGGTGGTTTTACATTCACCACATTCACCATGCTTGTGCAGGAGCCTTTGCTCGCGTTCCCACATCGATTCTTGCAGATGATGGGCCCTATACCACAGGAGCCGAGGCCTTTGGTCCCAGTCAAACCTGACAAAAGGGAAGCCTACATGACCATTGCCAAACACATCTTGAAAAGGGTTCCCACAGAATCTGATAGAAGATCGGTAAAGTTTTTAATCGAGCTGTGCACCAAGCTCTCCCCACAGCCCGTTCCGCCCTTGCCTTGGACGCAAGAAGCCGTTAGTGCAGAAGGTGTTCGCATCGGCCTTCCGCAAGCAGTGGCGCGCTTGTGCCCTGTAATAAAGTTCAGTGCAAAGCTTGGAGCTTAGACAGTGACAAGCTGACTCATCGGATGGGAAGAAAAAGAACATTTAATTTGCAAAGTAGTAGAACATAGTAGAACGATATGAAGCACTCTCATCACACCTGAACTCACATCTGACTCTGGTTCTTTGCACCTCGAAGCCATTTTGTTTTGCAAGACTGTATAGAGTATAGGGGTCTATCTAGTGATAGGCTACACAGGTCCAAGTTGTATAGTGGACTGTTCCCAAGATCAAGGCTGGGTAATTCTTCACTGGTTCATACTTTCCTGCTCGCATATGACCAGGCAGTCTTGCTTTCATGTCTGCCGCCCCTCATCAATCTCCAGTGGAGGCCAGAACCAAGAGTTCAATCATTGCCAAACAACCAACAATGGCCCAGGATTGGGATGACTACCTCAAGAACGAGCTCTACGAATCAGATGAATTGGAAGATTCCCAGGTCAGCTGTCCTGAAAAAGAAAGGAACCCCGAAGACTGAGTAAGAATCGGCTGTCATTCTGTGCTGCTTGTGGTGGTCAGGTGACAGTAGAACGTCTACTTTTCCGGAAGGCCCACATTCTTTAGATTCCGTTTGCTCACTGAGTCAGAGTATGCCTTCAACATGGAAGGCAGTCAAGCGGATGCATGAGGATCAACAGGATGCAGAGGTGGGTTTGCGTTGTCCCTGAAATATTTCACTTCATCCCCGTCCGGAAATCCATTTGCCAGGCCTCAAAGCGAAGAAGGTCTGAGCCTGATGACTTGGAGCCAGGTGAGGAATTGCAATAATTTGAATCTGCATCCAATCCAGTTTTTTGTTGAAACTGGGTTAATTGGAGTTGCCAATTGCAATGCTGCAACTCACCAGCTGAGCAAAAAGGTCTTTCAACGTTTTACTTCTTGGACAGGACAAAAACACTTCAGTCCCAAACTGCAGTCAGTGCAACTTTGAGAATTGCGGTTTGCGCCTTGATTCCTATATGTCACTGAAGGTATTGCTGAGCTTTGTTTGTCTTTAGGGTTGCATGCCATGGTTCATAAACAGCTGACCCTTCGGGAAGCAGTTGCCCTGATTGCTTCCAAGAGCTTGCCTGGGAAGCCAACCTCATTGACACCAAATAGGCCAGGGCCTGTGCCACAGAATTGCACGAGCAAATGTTTGACAGGAATGGAGTCCTTTCTACAGTAGGCATGATTCAAGGACCAAAGCTAGCAAAGCGGTCAAGAAGACCATTGAGAAAAAAACCAAATTGCTGATGCCTTAGCTGGTTTGTTTCATTTATCCCTTCTTGTGTTTATGTCGCTCTGTTTTTTTTATCGCCTTTCTTTGTCTGTCCTGTTTTGCTATCACGCAAGTGGCAAACACATGTTGGCTCAGGCGTTTCTATCCAAAGACATCTGTGCCAGCTGCCCCAGATGACTATCCAGTGAACTTTCGTTCTGTAAAGGATGTGTACCGCTGGCCAAACATGTTCTTAGAGAAGGCTGCTTCTTGTTTTGGAGTCAAGTGGGTGGCACAGCGGTTACGCCGTTGGAAGTGGGAGCTCTCAACTGCTTTCAGCGGAGTTGGATGTGCTGAGAGTGTCCGGTCCTTGGTTACTTACTGAAGCGTGTCATGAGGCTAGATTACGACTGGCTTGATGACTGGCTAGATTGTATCAGATTCAACTTGAACATGTTTAGGCCGCCATTAGCTTGGCTGCTGCAGCCAAAGCCTTTTTGAAGAAGCACTTGACATCGAATGTTCGTGGCACAAATCATGTCCAGCTTAGCTTTGCATGTGAAATTGATGGTGCATGCCAGCGTGTGCTGCGGTCCACATATGGGCACTCTGTCTTCTATAATATCACGAAGCTGAACATGACCAAGAACTCCTCCTTTTGCATCACACACCAAAAGATGTGTCCTATCCAGCACAAGTTGGATGATCCCACTCGACTCTTAGCGTAGTTCTTAACTTTATGTCAGTCAGTTGAATGTCAAGACGTGCTCGACTGACAATACCCCCACGCCTGGTTCAGTCAGGACTTCAAGTGAACGCATCTGGCACCGGCCTTGGGCATGTTTAGCAAACTGTTTAGCAAAATGAAGACTTATTTACAGCAGCCCTGACAGGTAGTCTAATATGATGCCAGTCCAATTTACAAAAAGCCTAGGTCCGGTTTGCGTTGACTTCAGCCTAATGGGCCAGAGAAAGAAGCAACATGGGCCAAGCTACGCAACACACAAAGCCTTCTACGATGCAGTGAGAAAAAGCAACTGGTCCCTGGTTTTCATAGAAAATGTGACAGAATACCAGGAACAGTTGGCGCAACAGGAGTTGGGCAAGCCGTGGTGCATTCTTTCATGTCGCTTGGACCCACGGGTCCTAGGCATGGGATGTGCAAGAGCAAGGGTCTTTATGGTTGCTTATAGAACTGACAAGCTGGTGTGGGATGCGCCCTTTGGTTTGAATGAATTGGTAGAGTGTCTTCGAGGGCGGGTGGTGATGACAGCAAAAGATTACTACTACATGGACCTCCCCAGGGTGAAGCTTTCGGACGCGAATGACGCTTAGCAGCTGCTAAAGTTGACAACATCCACAATACCATTAACCATTGGGTACGATTGGTTTCATTTCTGACTGAGCGAGTTCCTACAGTTTGAGGCCTTTTTTGTTTGTCACTGTAGGGTTGTGTGGAAAGGCCCTCTTTGGTTGGGTAAGGAGCGGAACCTGGCAGACTACAATTCAGAGAGCCGGAAGCTGCAGTTTCCCGACCTCAACCAGTATGCTAAAAACGGCCGGGGACGAGGAGAGACAGTTGACAACGCTTTGCCAACCCTGACCACGACCAGTGGAAGACTGTTCTCCCAGGCCTGCGATCGTAGATTTAAATTTGATGTTCGTAAGCAGTCCATTCCCTTGGCACAACCAACCCAAGAACCCCAACTCTTCTGTGACCCACGGCCTGCCAGGCACATCACCGTTTCTTGCACCCAGATGAGATGCTGGCCAGCCACGCGTTGCCTATCTCAAAGGACCAGGGAAAGGCATGCAGGGCTCCAACTCTTGAGCTGGATAAAGTTCCATATACTTCCAAAGTCCACATGGCCGGAAATGCCATCAACATACCAACAATTGGTAGTGTGATGTTGGCAGCTGCTCTTGCATTCCAGCCAGTTCAGAAGCCATGACAAAATTAGACATGCCAAGAATGGTGCTTAATTCACTTGGCTCCTTTCGCTGCCCAATCAATTTGGATAATGCTTCTGTTCGGATAGCAGCCAAGAAACAAACTGTGACTGTGCAGCTTGCAGTGTATGTGACAAATTGTGCTTTACATTTTACTGTCAAACTGCACCAAGCAAGCTGCCTTGTTCGACAAAAGGCCCAAGCCTGGCCTCCGCCAGTGGAGTGGAGGACCACCATGTCCAAGCGTAGGACGCCTGGGTCGGATGGCCCTGCCCGTGGAAAAGCTCTCAAGAAAGCATCTCCATGGGTTGAACTCGTGATGCAGGGCCTTCAGCTCCTTGAATTAAAACACAATTCGTACTGTACTGTGGCATCCAAATGAACCTGTTTTGAATTGGTGTTCATCTCAAGGTCATTCGATGCGGAGAGGGATGAACATCCTGTCAAATTCGTGCTGGACAACCTGAACAATAGCCTGATTCCTGCAGTTGTCTGCTGGTTGGAAACACTACTAGGTGAAGAATTTCCCAAACCAGAGAAGTACACTATTGGGGCCCCTTGGGCTAGCAATACTATACTCCCTGGTCAATTGCAAGCCGTTTCAATTTTCACCTGTCCCCAACTCCTATTGTCCTTACCTCAGGACCCAAAGCAGGCGATGGAGGTCCCTCTTTTTGTGATGTGGTACAAGCAGCCCTCGGATGGTCTTCCACTTCTCCAATCTTGGCTAAATACCGCTAGCGACATATTCTTCGGTGGCTATGATACTTGGAGGGAGCCAATGGAGTGCAAATTGAGGGCCCCGCGCAAGCCAGGTGATGCGTTGGCGGTTGCTGACCTGGAGGTGACAAAGGGCAGTGGAAGGCTCTCTGTCTTGTACTTTGGAGTGCTCTGGACTTTTTTGCATCACAGCAATGACATGACCCCAGAGCAAATTGCTGATTTCCACAGGCGTGGTAGTCCTTATCGGGCTTTGTCAGGGCTTGAGAGCAGGTAGACTGACTAAAAGCTGTGAAAGCTGGGGGGAATCAACTCGCATTAAAAAACAGACCATCTGGGTCGTCCTTTCAGCTAAAAAAGTGAGGAGGAGCAAAGGGTGATGGTTTCGCTGGGAACGTCGTCCTTTGGATATTTTGGGGATAGTCTGGAAATGTCTGGGGATGCTGTGGGGATATTGTGGGGATAGTTTGGGAATGCCTGGGACTAGTTTTCCTTGGTGGGTGTGACTGTTCTGACCTAGGTGGGGAGTCTGCCAAAATATCCAAAGGGTGATGGTCCCGTCGAAACCGTCGTCCTTTCAGGAAACTGAAAATTAAAGCCCAAAGGGTGACGCAGAATGTCTCAGGAGGGTAGGATTGGCAACCACCGCAGCTGCAACTAAAGCTAGTCGTTCAAAACCTAGCCAGATATTTTGGGGATCTTTGGGGGTCATGGTTTCACCGAAACCGTCGTCCTTTGGATATTGTGGGAATCGAAAACGTCGTCCCTGAGATATTTTGGGAATCGAAAACGTCGTCCCCGAGGTATTTTGGGATATATTTTGGGAACCTCTTGCATTGGCCCCACAATATGCTGACTGATAGAAGTGTGGATGGGCCAGGTGTTTGTCCACAATGTTCCCTTGGAAGGTGGATGAATACAGTCCGTTTTCTTGGCTGCACCCTTGTCGAAGAGACCACGCCCATCAATTACGAATGGCGGCGTATTCAGACCCATGAGCAGCAGGCAGAGAGACAGAAGAAAAACCTTCTGCAAAAGGCCTTGATCTTCGGAAACAGGGCCGACCAACTTCGTTTGGAGGACCCCAGTTAAAGCCAACCAGCACTTAATGATCTTAACTTAAAGGTCTAAATATTTAATAGGGAAAGGAACACAGTTTCCTAGCTGGCAAACATTTGCAGGACCCCCATACCTGTGGGAATGGTGAGGATAGTCTGCGCAGTGCATTTCTTCATGGGGTGCAAGAGTACAATGATTACGGAGCAGCATCGACAAACGCAAAATACAGGATCGACGAATCCCAAGCTCTGGCGCTGTTTGCTTTCAGGGAAACTTTGCCAATTAGTAGAACACTTTGCCTTTTTACTTCTGAAACTGAATATCAACTTCCACAGTAAACTAGATTCTGATAACCAAGGTTGGTGTGTGCCCTGATGTTTGGGAAATGCTTCAAAGACACTTACACATGTTCAGATGGGAGAACTCAGGTGGGGACCATAAACCATCTTCTGATTCTGATTATTGTTCATTCTATCGGGTGTGTATCAATTTTAAAATGTAGTTCAGTCGAATGCATATTATCCTTTCTCTCTGGAACCCTGACAGCCTTTGGGCGGGACACCCTCACCGACCATCGATGGCTACTTGGAGGCGTTCCCCGTGTAAGTCACAGCTCATGGCACACCATCCTATCCATGAACACCGAGAAGCAACTTTTGTTCATGAGGCGCATCATGCTGCTTCACAACTTGGGGAGCAAGCGAGCCGGAAAGGCCGCATCAGTCAAACTCAATCTCAGCGATTGGAATGCTGAGTGCGACCGTATGTGTTTGTTGGGACACCTCTTGCAAGCTATGCATGACACCACTGCTGACGATGGGCACCCTCTTTTTGATGCACCATTGTTGGCCACCTTGGTGAAGCGTTGCCTTGATGGGTCGCGCTGGCATGATTGTGCCAAAAAAATCAGCCAATCACCAGTCCCTGGTCCCAGGTCCAGGTCCCAGGTCCGAGGTCCTATTTCCAACCAAACACCGGCCAGGGACTTCAACGACGAGGCCAACGAAGTGCTGCTGGTGAAGGACCCGGCCTTCAAGGTCTCATTCATGCAGGTCTGGACAGAGAACCTGCCAAGTGCAACGCCCGGTTCCAGCGCAGAAGCCTTCAGTGCTGCCAACGAGCAAATTGCTCAGTTGAACCAAGATGCACGTAAAGTTGCCTTTGAACGTGACACACTTATCTTTGCAAAAGACACCGCCTCTTTAGGCAAACTTTATGAGCAAGAATCAAAATCCGAGAAATCAAAGAGAACTCAACGGGTGCTCCATATTCGGCAACAGAATGTCATCGGTGCAAGCATTGTTTCTAGCTTCATGCAGAAGAGTATGAACTTTGTTGCTGGAAAACCCTATGAGCTTACAGCTGCAGTTGACAAGGCTTGTCTCTTAAAAAGAACCCTCACCTTTAACTTGGGCATTGTTTGATCTAGTGATCTCGCACCAGCATGTGTTTGTTTTGCAAGGTTCTCCAATGCAAATTCAAGCAGTGTTAATCGTGTGTGTGCCCCCTGAGTTCATCGATTCAGCTGGAGAAGGTGTAGGTTTTGTGGTCTGGGCTGATGCCACAAAACTGGGACGGTTGTCGAACAACGACCTCAACACAATGTGCGATAGCATGGCCAATGTCCTCACAAAGAAGCCCTTGCACGCTGTGGGATTTTTGGTAGCACCTTATCTATGCAGCGAGAAGGTCCAGAATGGTTCCCGAGGAGAGCGCAGGATCCTTGTCATAAGGCATAAGGGGGGTGTGGGGGTGTCATCAGTTGTCCTAAAAACACCTCCTTCAGATGGGGGCTTGATCAGGGAACACCCTCCTCTCAGCTCAGGAGAATTGAAGACAAACTCGACATGCTCGGCCTGGCAAGTCTGATGGTCACCATCAAAATGGATACACCGCCTGCGAGCAAACGCGTGCCATGCGTGTTTCACGGCTGGTTGGTCTTTCAAGAGGACACCATTTCCGACAATGCCTTCTCTCAGTGCAGTTTGATGTTGGACAGGCGTGTTTTTTTATGGTTTTGTATCCTTGGATGGGAAAGGTCCAAACTGTAGAAGGCTAGTAGGTGTTGGATGGCCATAGGAACGATAGGAACACTTGATTCCATTGCTTTAATCAGCCAACTCCACAATCCATCTACAGGTGTCCGCGTACAACAATTTCATGGACTCCAGAAACTGCATACATCATACCAATTGCGGAGAAAGACACGCTTCCGCACGCAGCAGATGGATCTCGGTGCTTTAGCATTAATTTAGTAAAGAATGTCTATTCACCCTCGTTGCCCTCTTAGAATCTTGCAGTCAGTGAATACTTTAACAGTTCACTAGTTCTTAGAACCACTGTTTGTTTGCTATGACAGCGAACACCCAATTAGTCCCACTGCTTCTCCAGGTCAATGAGCGACGTTCAGGAGTCAGCACAGCTGCTGTCAGGAAGGGAATTTCCTGTTGCCATCCTTGAGGCTTTATGGAACAAGGCAAAGATTCCTGCTGGCAAAATGATGCTAGTGAATGTCACACCTTACGATGGGTGGCTTGAGAAGATATGTCTAGAGTGGGGTCGAACCATGCAAAGCAAGAAATCCAATCACTGTCAATTGCAGAGAGCAGCAAATCCATACCTTTGGACTATTGCCAAAAAACTCTGGCAATGGAGCTGCTGGAGGATAGGTGTTGGTGGTGAAACTAAGACCTGAGCCTAACTGTGGACTGTGGACTCTCTAGGACCAACAGCCTAGCTGCAATTTTAAGTTACAGCAGCAGTAAATTAGTTAATCTTGAGAAGTACATTTTGGGATGACCTGACCCCTGAGGACTGGAAGGCAGGCAAACCCACGATGGGCAAGGTGCGTCCGTACGAACCCGATCCAGCTGAATCGGAACAACCCACTGATTTGGCAACTTTCAACTTCAAGCTTGTCAAGGTGGCCGTTGATCCACTGAAATCTGGGTGGGGGAGGTACACGATATCAATACCAACAAGTGTACGTGAGATGTACGCAAATGACATTGTCTATGGAGAAGATTGGGCGAGTCTGTTGAGAGACTTTGACAAGAGGCCCTTGATGTCCAAAAAAACATAAAACACGTTGTTTCACAGGGATCCCATGCCAACATACCTTCTCCATCCCATCCCATGCCATCCTTTACAACTCAGACTCCACATCAGGTTTGGCATTGGTCAGAGTCCTGCCTTGGCAGTGGTCGCAGCGCCACCGCCTGAACCAGAAGAAGTCCAGCCACCGTGGCAAGAGCCGGTTACCATGGATAGCCTTTTGGAGTCTTACTTGGTGGAAACAAAGATTTCAGGTCGGGTGCCAGGCACAACCCTGATCATATGCCCAGTCAAGAGGCGGAATGGAACTACTGACCAAATCAGCGAGGGCCAAAATTACAAGCTCTTCATTGTTCCCCGCCTTTGAAACTATCATCCTCAGTTAATTCGATTGGTTGGCAACTGAAAGTACCATCATATAGAGCCGCCGTTATATACACACCACCATACTATGGATATCTAAGGCTGCCCACATGGATGTCGTCCTGGGGACCGACGAATACGTGATCACCCACGGTGCCAGCAAGTTCATCAAACCCGAGAAGGTTGCGGAATTGAAGAGGAAAGGGAACCCAGGTGGGAGCATAGCCAGTCAAGATGTAGAACTTGGCGTTCAAATTGAACAGTTCCATATGGTTCCAGTCTTTGTTTTTTCTCAATTTGAATGAAATTGAATTGTGATTCTTCCTCACTCCCTTCCTTGGATCAAGCGAAGAACGTGCCCAAGTTGTTCATATCAGGGGGGTTACCAGCCTGCTGTTCCCAACTCATGCCAGCGTCTTTGGCCGATCTACTTGCCCAGCATGGCTTTGATCAGGACAGTTGCTCTCAAAGGGTGATATAATAAGATTCCTGTGCTCCACTGATGTCATAGATTGTCATCAAAGCCATATGAGCCCCCGTTCAACCATGAAGAAATGACCAGTTGCTTCCAGGACTTTTCTGGCTTAGCCAAAGAGGATGCCGGAGCTACTCAGACCCCACCGACAAAAACTGCCAGAAACTAAGTTTCTTTCATTTTCCACTGTGTCAATCAAGGGTTCTTGTTGTTTGCCAGGCTCTTGCGTCTCCACCACCAGGGACCACACCCACTCCGGTGAGTCCCGCCGTGGGGGAGGCCTGAACATCCAAAAACAACAACATCTTCTTACTACACGCTGGGTTGTCACTCTTAGTTGCAACAAGTAGTCCTTGGCACCTTCTTGTTTCCAGGTACCTACTGAACAAGTGAAGCCAAAGAGGTTGCAAATGGAGGTTGCAGAGGTGAAAGATAGCCCAAAGCTTCCTATGGCTACCAGGGAATCCACCCAGGAGACCAACCCGAACTTAGATGCTGGAAGCATCAAGAAGCTTGAGGACGAGATCCGTGAGGCAGAAGTATCAGCAAAACAAGAAAAAAAGGAGTCAAAGCCGGCAAAGGAAACATCAAAGGGTTCAAAGAAGACTGATCAAAACGAAGCATCAAAAGTTGTCACCGAGAAAGGCACGAGGAAGATTCCAAAAAATCAAAAAAGTGCAAAAAACGCACCAAATGATGAGGAATGCTCTTTGGACTCAGAGGAGCCGCTCTCGGAAGAGTACACTGACCTCGAGCCCTGTAGTGAAGATGAGAAGGAGGAAAAGACAAAGCCAGGGAAGAAGGCCGGGAAAGTCCAGGAGTCAGCCAAGCCAAAAGGCAATGGCGATGGAGAGATTGGAAATCCAGAAGCAAAGGGTAAAAGAAATGACAATGAGCTCAAGAAGGCAGCGGCAAAACCTGCGAGCCAAAAGGGGACAAGTCAGAAGCAGAGCAAAGAAAACAATAAAGAAGAAGAAGAAGATGCTGTCACAAAGAAGCCAAGCAGGGTTGCAAAGGCGAAGACAAACTCTGAGGACGCTGGCAGCAAGAAGAACCAAGAAACTGCTGTCACAGAGGAGAAGCCAAGC